CCTTGCTACCCTCCTCAGTGGACGCCCACTGCCATTCACAACCAAATAAGCAAGTATCCAGGTAACATTTCTGCTTTGCCTGCTTTTATTTGTACAAAGAAAAAAGGTGTTTATTCCCTTTTTTAAGCGGATACATCCAAACCTCCTGCTTTTTCCGAGAAGAAGGTTTACTTCATCAGTGTTTCAACAGTGGTGTGGGAGCAGGCTGTGGTACAAGCCAGAGTCAAAGCATGAAAACCAGAGGATGGAGGCCCACAGCTGTGCCCTGGGATGATGTTAATAATAATAAATATTTCTGCAAACCTGCAGGATAATAAAAACTAAAGTTACATAATAAAGGGTGTGGAGTCTGGATGTCAGCTTGTCATCGTTCTGATAACAAAATTCTGAAAACGTGACGGTTCTTCTACCACAGCCTGCATGTGCACTGAGCAGGACTGTCCAACACTGTTGACATCATTCACAACAAACAGTCAATGAAAAGCTGATGTTGATAATAGTGCAGACAAAGTGACTCTACCTTCCTCGAGGTTGTCCTTCCCATCATCCTCTTCACACTCTTGTTTCAGAAAGTAGTGGCTTATGTAGAACTTGAAGTCAGCAAAATTAATTTCCTGCGACTTCTCTGCCCAGGTTCCACTGGTGTATTCCCCCTGTGTTCAGATAATGCAGCATCATACGATGAAGGTGAGATACTTCCTTTCTGCATACTTCACACGCATGTAAAAATTTGATGAGTGAAAAATACCTTCTCTGGAGAAACCTTCCGTGCAGTGTTCCCTGTCAGCTTCCAATCATTAAGCACTTCCTCCACTCTGGACACAAAACTTCAGGCAGATGAACAGATTAGCCCAGCATACATGCACAGTGTCTGGTTCATGCTAAATAACCACTGAAACTAATCTTCAGAAATGAATTTCCCTCCAAGCACACTGTGCTTTAAATATTACATTCACAGTAAGCAATGAATATGACTGAATGCAAATGTTAACTGTGATTCGTTAAAGAGGCTGCAGCCATTTGAACTGCCTCTGCATACACGAGCTGCACCAACCAATGGATCAACATATTAGGACATGACAACGCAGTAATTTGCCGAGACAGTGCTTTGGTACAAACAACCATTTAGCCCCCCTCCTCGTGACCTTTGGTTAGTGGCATTGTGATTTTGGAAGGAACCACTAAAGCAAGAATCAGTCTGATGCTAACATTGGCCAACCAGATCAGTTGCCTCAGTGTCTCAGAGTCCCTTGTTTTTTTTTCAGTGTGCGCTCGTGTTTCTCGTCATTTAATATATTTATTTAAGGGCTGGCTGTAGCTCAGGAGGTAGAGCAGGTCAGCTGCTGATCAGAGGGTTGGTGGTTCAATCCCCGGCTCCCCCAGTTTGCATGCCAAATATCCTTGGGCAAGATACTAACCCGACTTGCTCTCCGATGCATCCATCAGAGTATAAATGCATATGTATGATAGTTAGAAAGCGCTCACCGTATAGATAATAGTGAGTGTGGCATGTTGTATAGACCACTTTGAGTACTCCAGGAGAGCAGGCAAGCGCTGTATAAGAACCAGTCCATTTATTTTATTACTGATTTTGAGGTTGAAAATTCCGACTTTTGACAGAGTGACTCTTTTCCCTTGTGACTCTAATCTGTACCATCTAGCTATATTTAGTTTATTGTCACCTGACAAACACAAGGAGCCACAGCCTACTGGTTTACTGCTGTTTTGTTTAAAAAACAAAAACAAACAAACAACAAAAAAACCCCAGCCTCCAACAGCACTGTAAACAACGGTAGACGGGTGCATAATAAGCAGCTAATAATGCAGAAAACAGAGACTTGAGATGGGAAACTTTTCTTGAAGCACACAGAGAGAGAGAGCTGTACAGGAAGTGTGATTTTATTGTGGTGGAAGCAAACCAGCCAAAGTATAAGAGATTTAATGACGATGAGTATCAAACGTGAAGCCTAGTCTGGATCTTCTTTTGCTGCTGGTTCAGTCAATTTTGGTCAGAGTGACAAAACCTGCAGCTCAGACTCTGTGAGCGGTCAGCTCATACGTCTGTGTACGTGCCGTCGGGTGAACGGTCCACGCTCTGTGTTTACGTCTTTGTGTGGAACCCGTGCAGCTGCTCTCATTTACTGTTTCAGCCGTTTGGTGATTGTTGAAATCGTTTTGTGAGGTTTAACCTGAGATTCTGGAGTTTCTGGCAAAATACATTTATATTTAAAATCGATTCAGGATTTAATGAATCAATATCACTTTATTCAAGCTAAAATCGATTTTAATTGGAATATCGATTATGGAAACCCACTCCTAGTTCAAACTTCTGGCTCAAGCCCTAACAAGCAGGTGAGTTCCTTATTGACAAATGTGTCTAATTACAGGTCAGTTCTTGGAAAATGCATTTTATTTAACGCACATTTTGTAATAATACATTTTAGTTGGCTATAGTTTGTTTGGTAATCAATATCCAGAAGATTATTTAAAAATGGCTCACACATATGGCATCAGTCTTCCTATTCATCTACACCAGAAGCACATCTATATCTGTGCAGTGTTATAGTTTTAGTGATGCTGGTGTGCGATATCAGAGTGGTGGTAAATGTATATGCACAGATACACAGCCTCACTCTTTAGCTTGACTATTTGAGGTTAGGTTCGCTGTAATATACAATCATGTTGTTATGTTTAGGCCTGAAGAAATAAATGCAGGTTCGTGTCTCCCGAGGGCGAGCTGTGCGGAACACGTAAAGCTGTGGACTAATCCTAGTTTTCAGAGTAATGACCAGCTGGCTTACCGCTCCCACTCGGACGCAGTGGTGAAGTCGGTGATCTCGAAAACCTCCGACTCGGGCTGCAAAACACAAACGTAAACGTAAAATCAGCTGTCGTATTGTTACAGCGCGCTTAACAACCACATTGACATGTTACAAAACAAACTCACATCGCTATCAGCAGCCATGTTGTTGCCTTTGGCTGCCTGATCGGTTCCGGAAACTAGGATGTTTTTCTACGCATGTGCGAAAAGGTGGTCGCTTCCTCTATAGTTCTTTCACAATAAAATAAAACAAACAAATTCTAAATTCAATTCAATTTTATTTGTGTACCGCCAAATCACAACAACAGTCGTTGTGCAAAACTCATTCAGGCATTTAATGACAGGTTTCAAGATGTGAAGAATATCCAAAAGGAACTGGAGATGTTTACTACACCGTTTAATGTGCAACCATCTGTGCAAGACACTTTCCAAGTGGAAATAATTGGGCTGCAAAACAACTACGAGCTCAAAGCTAAGTATAACAGCCTCTCTCTGCTGGACTTTCACAAACTGTACTTTCATGCTGAGGCTTTTCCCATCCTGGCGAGACATGCCCTGAAATTTGAATCTCTGTTTGGGACAACGTACCACTTTGAACAGGTCTTTTCAAAACTGACTCTTGCAAAGAGGCGCTTCCACTCAAGACTAACTGAATCAAACTTGAAAAAGCAGCTTCGAGTGGCATCATCATCATCACTGCCAGCTGACATCAGACACCTCGCCAAAAAGAAACAGTTCCAGCTATCTCATTAGGTAAGTCTGATGAGCAGAAATGCAGCAGTAACACAGCAGCAGCCCAAGCAGAGAAGCCTCCTCCAGCTTGTCCGGGGAACGCCAACCCATTCTCAGACCAGCCAAGAGATGTTAATATAAGCAATTAGCAGGGTGTGTCAAAGAGTGAACAGAACATCGCCGAGTCAGCTGACAGCTCCATAAAATGTGTTTCCTACAGCAGCAAACAGGCTTCAAGAAGTGACAGTAAGGAGAGGTGTCAAGATCTGTGGGCCAGTCGGCCTCTTGTGTAAAGGACACAGTGATGCTGAAGTCATAGAGGTTGTGGTCAGGTCAGTCAGCCCAGGTTTCAGTATTCCTGACATGCCTGAGATAAAAGGACCTCACTCCCCGTTAGTTAAAGGAAATATTGAAAGCTCATCAAAAAACTGCTGACTTAACTCTTTGTGCTTGCATTGGCTCTCAGGAAGGCATCAGTGCAGCACTGTACCAGTGACAGTGAGGAAAGGTTATGGCTCAAGAACTGCTCCAAAATCGAATTACCACCTCATTCCTGAAAAGCAGGCAGTTTATGAAAGATTTTGAGAATATATCAGTGATTCTTGAGATAAGGGACAAAACATGTCCAAAGTTTCTCTCAACACCATCAGATTTTTTAAAAAGTACAAAAAAATCAGGAATTATTGTGGGTAACTTACACTGTGAGGACCCCTTTACCACTTCCTGTTTGATACACATGCCATGAGGTCACTGCTCTGGTGAGTTTTTTTAATTTGTATTTCATTTATTGCATACCTTTCTGATAAAAAAAACTCTGTGTCACAACCATAGTGCATCAACACCACAGTAGAGGCCATAAGCAACTGATGAAAAACAAGATGGCGTCTGTCAGAAAAACGTGCTATGAGAGAAAGTAGGGTATTTTGTCAGCACCATCAGGATTTTTGCCTGACGGTGTTGACCCTTTTTCTAATGATTTTGGCAAATGTCACAAAAGTGTCCTATTCACTAATTATATTAAGTTATTTTTATTAGAGCGGGGCGATATGGCCAAAAGTATTTATCACGATATATATTTGAAAATTTGCGATAACGATATAACTGACGATATAATTGATGCGAGACAAAATACAGCTCCACAACATTACTAG